TGAGGTTTGCAGCCCAACTCACAACCACTAAGCTACCAGAGCTCCATCTTTTTATGACCATGCATACGACCGTGCATGTATTTATTTGTGTTATGGCTCTTAATTTGTAAAGATTTCTACTAAGTAGAGGGATTGCTGGGTCATATGGTATTTCTATTTCCAACCTTCTGAGAGAGTACAGTACTGTTTTCCATAGAGGTTACACCATTTTATAGTCCCACCAACAGTGTAGGAAGGTCCCATTCTCTCCACACCCTCTCCAGCGTTTGCTTTTCCATGTTATTGTTGTTTTAAATTTGCTATTAATGCAAATGTCATTTTCATTTGCAGCTTTCTGATACCTAGTGATCATGAGCATGCCTTCATATGTTTATTGGTCACCTGAATGTCTTCTTTGGTGAAGTGTCTGTTCATGTCTGATACCCATTTTAATTGAATTATTTGTCTTTTTCTTACTGGGGTGTTGGAGTATTCTATAAATTTTAGACAGTATTCCTTTGTTGGATATATCATTGCCAAAAATTTCCCCCCAACCTGTGGGTTCTCTTTTTACTCTTCTGGTGAAACCTTTTGATGCACATAATTATCTAATTTTTAACAGGTCCAGTCCTCTATTTTGTCTTCTGTTTGTGTGTTTTCAGTTATGTTCGATAATGTGTTTATGCTATGAATCAGAACTCCTAAGTTTGTCCCTATTTTTTCATTGATGATATTTATAGTTTTAGGTTTTACATTTAGGTCTTTAATCCATGTTGAGTTCGTTTTTGTACATGGTGTGAGATATGGGTCTTGTTTCATTCTTCTGAAAATGGATTTCCAGTTTTGTTGCTGAGACCTGAATTGGGATTGTGTTGAATCTATAGATTGCTTTGGATAGTGATGGCTATCCATGAGCATGGTCTATTCTTCTATCTTTGTAGATCTCTCTTGGTTTCTAACAATGGTATTTTGTAGTTTTCTTTGTATCGGTCTTTACCACCAATCTTTAGGTTAGGATGTTGTCATTCAGTGCTATTGAGTTGGCTCCAATTCATAGCAATCCTGTGTAGGGTTTCTGAGGAGCGGCTGGTGGGTTTGAACCACTCATCTTGCAGTTAGCAGTCCAGTGCTTATCCTGCAGTGCCACACTAGGAGCTGAGGACAAATCACTTGTGCCACCAGGTACCAAGGGATTAACTAAGATGTGTTAAATGCATTGACAGAGAGGATTCTGGGAATCTGTGAGTGATCATTATCTCCTCCACTTTGACCTACAAACAACCGCCATCTTCCCAGCTTCCCTTTCTCCTTTCCCATCTGGTGTTGCTGTCACACCTGAGGATCCATCTCCCCTCTCAGAGCTTCAGTTGGTACCCCTGGGAAATGGAGATCGTTTCACCTCTCCCTCACCTAGCCTCGCAGTTGTTGTTATTGTTAAGTGCCATCAAGTTGATTCTGACTCCTAGTGACTGGTGTAAAGCAGAGAGAAAAGGTACCAGGTCCTGTGGCATCCTCATCAGCGTTGTTCTGTTTAAGCCCATTGCTGCTACCACTGTGCCAGTCCATCTCGTTGAGGGCCTTACTTATTTCTGCTGACCCTCTACTTTGCCAAGCATGATATTCTTCTCCAAGGTCCAGTCCTTCCTGACAACATCTCAAAGTATGTGTACCATCCTCCCTTCTAAAAAACATTCTGGTTTTACTTTCTCCGAGACAGATTTGTTCATTCTTCTATTGTTTGCCAACACCATAATTCAAATGCCTCAATTCTTCTTCAGTCTTCCTTATTATTCATTGCCCAACTCTCACATGCATATGAGGCAGTTGAAAATACCATCACTTGGGTGAGGTACACCTTAGTCCTCAAAGTGACATCTTTGCTTTTCAACACTTCAATGAGTTTTTTTTTGTTGTTTTTTTTTTGCAGCAGGAGCAGATTTGCCCAATGCACTATACCATTTGATTTTTGTAGGTGTTGAGTGTAGATCCAAATAAAATTAAATCCTTGACAACTTAAATCTTTTATCCATTTATCGTGATGTTACTTATTGGTCCAGTTGTGAGGATTTTTGTTTTCTTTATATTAAGGTGTAGTCCACACTGAAGGCTGTAGTCTTTAATCTTCATCAGTAAGTGTTTCAAGTCCTCTTCATTTTCAGCAAGCAAGGTGGCATCATCTACATATCCCAGGTTGTTAATGAGTCGTCCTCCAATCCTGATGCTGTCTTCCTTTTCATACAGTCTAGCTTCTTGGATTATTTGCTCAGCCTAGAGATTGAATAAATATGGTGAAATGACAAATCCTGAAGCAATCGTTCTTGATTTGAAACCATGAAGTGCAGGTTCCATACGAGCATAATTTCCCATTCTTCCCAATGTTATACATAATTTGTTATGATCCATATAGGATTCAATGAAACACAGGTAAACATATTTGTGGTATTCTCTGCTTTCAATCAAGATCCATCTGACATCAGCAATGATATCCCTCATTCTGAATCTTCTTCTGAATCAGGTTTGAACTTCTGACAATGCTCTGTCAATCAATGTACTACTACAACCATTGCTAAATTATCTTCAGCAAAACTTTACTTATGTGTGATATTAACGATATTGTTCAATGGTTTCTGCATTCTGTTGGAGCATCTTTCCTTGGAGTGGACACAAATATGGTCCTCTTCCAATCGGTTGGCCAGATAGCTGTCTTCCAAATTTCTTGGCAAAGATGAGTGAGCACTTTTGAGTGTTGTATCCGTGTGTTGAATGAAACATCTCAGTTGGTATTCCGTTACTTCCTGGAGTTTACTTTTTCACCCATGCCTCTAGGGCAGCTTGAATTTCTTCCTTCAGTGCAGATGTGAAGATATCTAAATGGTCAATGTTGTTGTTATTTGCACATGATAAGAGAAAAAGTCAGTGAAGGCTGTGGGGGGAGGCAGGATGTTGATTGAAAGAAAAATAGTGGAGTTTAAGGAAGATTTGCCTTTCCCCTTCACTCTTAGGTTCTTTACCCAAGGGACTTGTGGGAAAGGCCACCCCTTACCCACTCCCAATTCCTTGACACTTCTGAAATATGTGGGATCATCCCACCTATAGAACATTTGCAGCTACCATTCCCTTTGCCTGGCCCTCTCTTCTCTCAGATACCCTTCCATCTTCATTTAGGTCAAATGTCACCTTACCAGAGAGCCCCATCCACCCATCCACCCTGCCATGCTCTGCCAGTGTATTGTAACTTTGTTTTTTCAGAAGCCCTATTGCATATTGGTTTACCATCTAGTGCAGTGCTAGCCAATAGAACTTTTTTGCAATGGAATGTTCTAAATTTGAGCTGTCCAATATGGCAGCCAGTGGCAACATAGAAATGACTCATCCTTTGAAGTAGTGTGACTAAGGATGTGAATCTTCAGTTTTATTTCATTTGATTGCTTTGTTTTGAATTTATTTTTAAATATAAATAGCCTCACCTGGCTAGTGTTTACTGTATTGGACGGAGCAGCTCTAGGGTTTCGGCTCAACGTGATCACCAGAGTCTAGCACGGTGCCTGGTACAGAGTAGATGCATGAAATATGTTTGTTGAGTGAATGCATGCATGGGCTTCCAGGGACTCAATGAAGCCCCTCTGGATGTGCACATGTCTTTAAGCACTCTTATTTCTTCTCAGTCCCAGTCTCCTGGGTTGGTTTGGTGGAGGGCTCTGTGTTCCCTGATGGAGTATCTACTGTCTTAGGCATTGGGCTGTTAACTTCAAAGTCAGTGGTTCAAATCCACCAGCCACTCTGTGGAATAAAGATGAGACTGTGTGCTCCTGTAAAGATTTACAGTCTTGAGACCCCTAAATAGGGTTTGGCTATGAGTCCGAGGAGAATACTGAAAGTGTCATGGACTGCCTACGAAAGAACCAATAGATCTGTTTTGGAAGAAGTGCAGCCAGAGTGCTCCTTGGAGGCCAAGATGGCTAGGCTTCGTCTCTCATACTTTGGACACACTGTCCGGAAAGAACAGTCGCTGGAGAAGGATGTCATGCTGGGTAAGGTGGAGGGTCAGAGAAAAAGAGGAAGACCCCCAATGAGATGGATCAGCCAGGTGACATCATTGATGGACTCAACTGTGGTGGCGGTAGTGAGGTTGGCCCAGGATCAGACATTGTTTCGTTCTGCTGTGCATGGGGTCGCTATGAGTCGGTTCCAACTCGATGGCACCTGACAACAACAACAATGAGTCCGAATCAACCCGGTGGTAGTGGGTTTGGGTTTTTTCTCTCATGAAAGAATCCCAGTGCACAGTGGGGTAAGCATTGGGCTACTCACCACAGGTCAGCCGTTTGAACCCATCAGTCACTTGGCTGGACAAAGATGAGAGAGTCTGTTCCCATAAAAATGTACAGGCTCAGAAACCCCACAGCACAATTGTACTCTGTCCTGTTGGGTTGTCACGAGTTGGAATCAACTCCCCAGTAGTGGGGTTGGTTGTGATTTCGTTTTCTCCCCTACACCCAAGCTCAAAGACTGATCGACAAACCCCAACTCACCGCAGACCCCCTCAGCCCGCCCCCACCTCCACAGACAGCTTCACTCTCCTCAGGTGCCATGAACTCACATTTATTCAGACAGACAAAGGGACAAGGACGAACCTTTGCTCACTGGGGACCCCCAGGATCTGGCAGTTCCAAAGAAGGTGATGGTGTCCAGTGTGTGAGTGAGTGTGTATAATGGGGGACTGGCAGGCAGGGGTCCCCACCAGCCTCTCTCCCTGGGGCCAGTTGTCCTCAGCTTCCTTCTTTCTCCAATTTGTCCTGCCTTTAAGACACTGTCGGAGTGAGAGACTTCTAACCAGCATGGGGGGGGGGGGGTCTTAGGGTGGGTCCATGGGGAGGTCTGGTGGTCCAGGGCACCCCCCTTAGTGTCAAGGGCTGAGAGGGGTTGGGTGGGTAGAAGGAGGGACTCGCCTTCAATTTCCCTTCTCCATATTGCAAACCCCGGGGGCTCAAACAGGGGGAGGGGGGCTGGCAGTGTGAGGGTCAGGAGGCCAAGCCCCCCAACCCACGCAGGTGGGTTTTGCTGTCGACCTCTTCCTCTTCCATCTCGAAGGCGGAGTGGTCTTGGCTGTCGAAGCAGGAGGCGCTGAGGAAGACAGGGGGTGCTGGTGGGGAGCGGGGTGGGGGCCCTGGGGAGGGGGGCTCCTCTTTGATGTGCTCCACCGGCAGTGGCAGCCCCCCGGGCTCCTCCTGCTCAGCCGGCGGGGGCGGGGGTGGCGGTGAAGGCGGAGGGGCCTGGGCCTGAAGTGCCTGTAGCGCGGCAGCGCGCTCCAGCTCCGCGCGGTGACAGCGCTGGTGACGCAGGAGGCTGTAGGCGCGGGAGAAGCGGCGCGGGCATCGGGGACAGGGGTGCGGCGCTGGTCCCCCGGCGTGCACCTGCGCGTGCCGGGCCAGGTCGGCCAGCCGCTTGAACTCGCGTTGGCAGCGCACGCACTGGAAGGGCCGCGCTCCCGAATGGGTGACCCCATGCTGTCGAAGGTGCGCCCGGCGTCGGAAGCCTTTACCGCACTCGGGACACCAGAATCGGGGTTCCCCTGCGGGGGGCCGGGCCGGCGCCGTGTCCCCTCCGTTCTGGCCGCCTTCGCCGCCCTCCGAGGCCGCTTCAGCCCCCGCGCTGCCCTCGGGCCCCTTCCCTGAGGTCCGCGTCCCCGCGGCCTTGTCGTCCTTCTTGCCGGGCAGCGGGGCCAGCAGGCTGAGCGCCCCGTGCACGCGGCGGTGCTGACGGAGGTAGGAGGCGAGACGAAAGGCCAGGCCACAGTCCGGGCACACGAAGGGCCGGTCGGTGGAGTGGACCAGCCGGTGTCGAGACAGTGACCAGGGCCTGGCGAAGGCCTTTAGGCAGATGGGGCACTGGTGTCGCTTGGGCCGTGGAGGTGGCCCGCCCTCGCCCTCCTGGTCGCCTTCGGGCCGCAGACAGGGGTGTGCCTTGAGCTCGCCCTTGGTGGCGAAGGCCTCCCGACAGCGCAGACATAACAGGGTCCAGTCGGCCTGCAGCAGCACTTGCTTCTCCTCCTGCCGGCCGGCCGCCAGCGCCAACTCGGCCCGCAGCTCCGCCGCCCCGGCCTCGGCCTCAGCCTCAGCCTCGGCCTCGGCCTCTTCCTCCTCCGACTCGCGGGGCTCCGGTGGTGCTGGGGCGGCCAGGTCGCCAGCGTCCCCGGCTGGCCACGGTTCAGGCCACTCGGCCGCAGCCTCCTCTGGGGAGCCTGCCGCCGCCGCTGTGGTGGCCTGCTCCTCGCCCGCGTCCTGCGCGTTCCAGCTGGACTCGGTGGTCTCCTTGGTCACACGCTCGATGGCCAGTTCCACCTCGCCGCCTGCGTGCTCCTGGGCCAGGTGTCGCCGCAGCTGGGCCGGCTCCGGGAAGGTACGAGGACAGGCGGCGCAGCGCAGCGGGGGCTGTGGGCCGTGGCCCCGCAGGTGGCGGGAGAGGTGGGCCGGCCGGCGGAAGGCCTTAGGACACAGGGGGCAGGCGTGGGGGCGCAGGCCCGAGTGGCTCAGTCGGTGCCTGGAGAGGTAGTAGGGAAAGCGGAAGAGACGACCGCAGGTCGGGCAGGGCAGGGGAGCCCGAGCCGCCCCCGCGCCTCCTCGGCCACAACCTCGGCCTCGGCCACGCCCACGTCCACGGCCTCGGCCACGGCCACGCCCACGGTGTGGTGGACTGCCCTGCGCAGGAGGAGGGGGCTGCGGGTCCATGCCTGCGGGGAGAAAGAAGAAAGAGAAGAGAAAGGCAGAGACATACTAAGGGAGGGACAGTGGTAAAGTGAGAGGCAGAAGGACCCCCCTGGGGAAAGGAGATGGAGATAGAGAAAGAGGCAGAGATGTTGGGAAGACACAGAGAAGAGTCAGAGAGACCAGGGAGAGACACACAGAGATGGGAGACAGAGAGAGACAAATGAAGAGAGGAAAAGACAAATGAGAGACATCGAGATGAGGCAGAGATCAGGGAAATAGAACAAGAAAAAGACAGTGGGGAGACAGACAAATGGAGAGAGGAAAAGTGACAGGAAATGGCAGAAATTAGAGACCCAGAGAAGGAGAGACACATGGAGAGACAGAGATGGAAAAAGAGATGAGAGACACAGAGACCAGAGAAATAGAAAAAGAGACAGAAAAGCCAGAGGTGAGATGCATAGATTAGAAAGGGAGAGGCAGAGAACAGAGCGACAACAGATTTGGAGACCCAAGGCAGAGACAGTACAGATATCAGAAGAAGTGGGGCAAGGAGGAAGGACAGAGGGCAGAGATAGACACAGAGGGAGACCAAGTCAGCAAACTGTCTTTGCTCCCGGACCTGGGATGGATGTCTGGGAAGGGACTGAAACCCACTCAGAGGTCAGAGTGTACAGGGTTGGATTCAAAGTCTGGAAGCTTTGGAAGTGGAGGGTCTGAGGGAGGAGGGGCAGGGGGTCAGGACTCCCGGGTCTGAAGGAGGAGGGGCTGGGGATCGGGACCCCTGGATCTGAGGGAGGAGGGACTGGGGGTCAGGACTCCCAGGTCTGAGGGAGGAGGGACTGGGAGTCAGGACTCCTGGGTCTCAGGGAGGAGGGGCTGGAGGTCAGGACTCCTGGGTCTGAGGGAGGAGGGGCTGGGGGTCAGGACTCCCGGGTCTGAGGGAGGAGGGACTGGGAGTCAGGACTCCTGGGTCTCAGGGAGGAAGGGCTGGAGGTCAGGACTCCTGGGTCTGAGGGAGGAGGGACTGGGGGTCAGGA